CTTGATTCGTCAAAATTATTCAGTATAAAGGCGGCAATTGTATATGAATACAAAAAAAGTCAGTGTAATATGCAAAAAAAAAAAATATTAATAAAAAAATTACAAATTTCCAAAGTGGCAAATTGAGGACTAGTATTAGAACCATTAGTATTAGAACCATTCTTTATTGTTTAGTGTTTTAATTACGCCTCCTATATCAAGAAAACATGATTACGAATTCAAACTGCAATAACTTCTATAAAATTTGGCCTTACAAAAATGATTGTTAGAAATAAAAAGTTATCTTATTATAATTAATTTTGTGTCATTTAGAAAAATGATCATGTATGTAATGGGCGTAATGGGGCATCTCAAATTAAAATCCAATTTGTTTCACGTTAATTTTATCTCACATCAAAAATATCTTTTTTTTTTCGGAAAAAAAAAACAATTTAACTTCAAATTTCGTTTTTCGGACTAAGCATTGCGGATAGAAAAAGCTTGTTATGAAATTTTGAGAAAGAGTTTCGATTTTTATTTAAATCTTAAAATATTAAATAAACACAGAAAAAATCTAAATAAATATGATATAATGGCATAAAATGTATCGTTTAGTTGAAAACTTGATAATATTAGACACTAGGTGTAAGTCCCATGTATTATATGGGTTAATTAAAAAAAATAAATATAAAAGTCTAAATATTTAAGAATTTTAGATTTATAAGAAAATAAGAAAAATAATGAATTATTAAAATTGAATTTTCTTTTATTTTTAAATAAATAAACAAACTAAACTAATAAACATTAGTTTAAGAATTTTGAAATAAAAAGGTAAGTCCATTAATGAAATTGATATTCATTTATTACTATATTTATTGTAATTATTACATTAAAATATTATGTAGAATTTATTAAATAGAAAACCATAAAATGATATGTAGAAAAAAATTTAATTCAAAATAACCACAAAATGATATTTAACAAATTTAATGAGAGTGTGACATGTGACAAAAAGACATTTATTTATTAGAGTGGATTTTAGATTTTAGTGGTAGAGAGACTTTATATAAAATGTTTTGTATAGATGAAAAAAAAATAGAAATATATTATTTGTAATCCGAAATGGTTATTTCGGGAATAAGTAATTTTTTTTTTTTTTATTTTTTTGTAAATAGATTAAAAACTGGGTCATTTTTCTATATCTACCAAAATCATGTGATATTTTTTATATTATCCCTATAATATATATATATATATATATATATATATATATATATATATATATATAAACTATCAATAATGATAATTTCTATAAAATATTATTTTTCTAAATTAGACACAAATTAACATGCTTCCTAAAAAAATACAATATCAACTAAAAATCATAATAAGGATACGTTAATCAAATAGATAGTAATTCACATTTGAAAACTATAGTTATAGTGTAAATTTTTTTGATAAATATAATTGTAACTTTTTTGAAGATGTAAAAATTAAAAATTTAAAAATTTCCAACTAAGAGTTATAGTGTAAATTTAAAAGTTATAAATTTAATAAGATTTCTAACTAAGAGTTTCTTCACTCTCAAGAATATACTAACCCTGTCATTATTTTATTATTATTTTTTTTTTTTGTAAATTACAAGGTGATATTTCCAAATTCCAAATAGGCCGTAAATTTGTTTGTATTATAACAAAAATATGCATAAGGGTGGTAGGAGTGAAAACTATTCGATTCAATACTCCAGCTTGATATAAGTTTTTCTTTCTTAGATTTTTTTCATCTTTAAATTCATTCCCAACCAACAAAGCATGAATTTTTTTTCCAACCAACTTACAACATCATTATTTTTAATTAAATTAAAATAGAAAATGCAAAAATTAATAATCCACCATAACATTTTTATAAATTTTTAATCTTTAAAACAAACATACTAATTTAAAACCAAAAAAAATATCAAACAATATTAAAATAACATTTTATTAAAAAGTAGACTACAATAATATAAAATAAAATCACACTACAATAAAAGTAACGACAAACAAAAACTAAAAGAAATACTTAATTTCTAAAAAAGAATAGTAATTTTTAAAATATTTCCCGCCGTCTTGTGCAAAAACTCTTTCATTTTATGGTGTTCGTGATATTTTTTTTGTTGCGTTTAAAACTTCTTTGTCGGAAACTTCGGGCTCGCGGACAGGTATTTATCTTATGGATAAAAATAACATTAAACTCTTTCACTTTCCCAACATATCTTTCCACTTTGAAAAAGATTGATGGGTTGAATGACCCGAACCCCCAAGCTATTGTTTAAAATGATCCAAAACTGACCTCCAAAAATATGACGACCTATGTTGACTCACATGCCTATTATCGAAAGTGTCAATGTATACTTGAGCTAACATTACTTCTTCGATTTTCAAACCATTATGTAGATACAACCGACCTAGAAATAACATCTATTTTCAAATTTTGAATTGGAATGTAAAGAAAAATAGAGTAAAATGGAATGAAATTGGAAAAAAACGTATAGGATAATGAAATGGAATTGAAAGACAAAAAAAGATGTGGTTTTAAATTGGTAGATAATAGTATTTCTAAAAGAAAAATCATCAAAAAAAATTAGAACCGTTGGAGAGGAATCTCGAGTTCTTCAACCGTGTTGAATGCCAAAGCCCCAACTTACCATGGGACAGTGTAATCCCCCGACGGTACTACCAGTATTGTCAGTCCAAAACCAATTTTTTCGAACCACTCCGACCACCCAAACATACCAATGTGGTTACATGCAATGGGAAAGTAATTATGATATGTTTGATTATTAAACTATGATATATTTTAATTTTAAAAAGTAATAAAAAACAAATCACTATAAAAGATAAAAGAAATATAAAAGTTAGGTCACGTTTGATAGTTGCTGACTGAGAAATGTCTGTCTGGATAAGAAATCCTGACTGAGTAAGAAACCATGTTGTTTAATTCTACGTCTGACTGAATGGCCTGACTAATAAAAAATGACCATTTTACCCTTTGCTCTAAAGGGTGATGTAAATTACACACAAATCCTTTAAAAAATCCAAATAAAAGTTATAAAAAAATCATTGCTTTTACAAAGTTATAAATAAATTCATTGTTTTTCAACAATTCAAACAATTTATTCTTTGACCAAAATTGATCAGAGCAACAGTAAACATAAGAATAACACTTTGACCAAATTGCCCCTGCTCCATTTTTATTCTAGACCATTCCATGAGCATAGAATTTTGACCATATGTCTTGTAAAAAACAGATCCTCTCATCCATATCTTCAATAATCTATTAATTTTGAATTTCTTGATCCAGAAAAACCAATTGAGAACCAACAGACCTGGCTTATACTTGCTAATCTTGAAATTAATCAAAAAGAGACCAAACTGCCCTTTTCTCAAAAAAAAATTCTAAATCAGTAACCAAAAATCTTTATTCAATATGTCACTGTAAAGATCCCACCGAAATGAAAGAAGAAGAAGAAATTAGAGGGCAGGATTCAAATTTCATAACAATAGCACATCTAATCATAGCTTATACATATTTCATAACAATACAACATGACATGAATTATAGAGAGTTGTAATTAACAAACACAATGATAATCATAATCTGATCAAGTATACTTAATTCAATCATAAAAGTGTACAAACAAAAAATGAATCATATATCAACATCCATCATGTGCAAGTCCATTTATCTTTGTATGGAATTATGTACTTATAAAACCGGAAGACATACTAGAGCAATCCAGTGTCCTATTAAGCATAAATAATGTCATATGAACTTTTTTAAGTTCTCAAATCAGCTTATTTGCAATAAAAAAAACATGACTTGCTAAGAGCTATTTCGTATGATCTTGTCCCGCATATTATACAACCAAAAAAACATGATACTTGCTCATAGCTTATACATATTTCATAACAATACAGCAAAAAAGGATACAAATTTCATAACAATAGAGAAAAACAATTCTGATTTCATAAAGAATGCATAATATTCTAACAAAAAAGTATTTTGATTTCATAAAGAACTTCAAAGCATAAATGGTATCTGATTTTAACAATTATTAACAGAAAAGAAGAAGAATATCTTACCTAATGGCGTCGAGATGGTGTCACATATGGAAGAGATAGAAGAGAAGTCTGGCGGAGGTGCGATCGGTGAGATGGCAGAGGTCCGACCGGCGACCTCTGTTTGGCGTTCAATTGGAGATACAATGTGGAGTTGTATGCGACTGTGTTTTTAGGTCAGGGAACGATGGAAGAAAGAATAAAGAGGGAGGGATAGGATCGTCTAATGTCTCCAGTCAGCGATTGTTAAGATACTGTGCGAGAAAGCAATTGAGCCAGCCAATCTTACCGAGAAAGCAACAATTCAAACACTTATGGTCTGACCGAGTCAGCCCAATTCGCTGACTCGACCCAGTCAGACCTTTATCAAACACACCCTTACATTACGTTTAGATGAAATATAATCCACAACAAATATATATATATATATATATATATATATATATATATATATATATATATTATAGAAAATAATTTACTAAAAATGTATAAATCCATCTAAAACAATATATTTTTTCTTTCGAATGGCAAATATAATATATTCGTAAACTATAATGTTTGATTATTAAACTATGATATATTTTAATTTTAAAAAATAATAAACAATAAATCACTATAAAAATTGAAAAATATAAAAATTACATTATGTTTAGATGAAATATAATCCAAAACAAATATATTTGTATATATTATATAAAAAATAATTTACTAAAAATATACAAATCCACCTAAAATAGTATTTTTCTTTTGAACGACAAATCTAATTGTATATTCATAAACTACTCTTTAAATCCCACCTATCTCCATGAAATTCAAATCTCAACCTCAAAGAAAAAAAAAATACCGCTAATTTAGAAGTCTTTTAGTCCTAAAATAGTATATAACCTCTAAAAATAAAGAAACAACTAATATCTATGCTGGCCAAGAAAGGGCAAGGGTCCAATATTTTAGTGTACAAATAACGTTTTGCTTAAAAAAGTTAGAGAGAGAGAAAGGCAGAAAGCCCGCCATTAATGCTGAGCTCAACCACCAGTCCAAATGTAAATATATCATCTATATACATTGTAGACTACCATTACAAGCTAATTTTCTTTGTGACCTTATCTACTTGATCAGGTTTACCCTCAAATCTAGGGTTTTTTTTCGCTTGAATTTAGAGCCGTGTTGTAAACAATGTGGAATTCGGCGGAGAATTTATCAGCGAGATCGTCGTCATTCCGGGAAGACGGAGACGACGAGGAGGCGTTACGTTGGGCGGCTATCGAGAGATTGCCAACTTATAATCGAGTTCGGAAGGGTATATTTAAGAATATCGTCGGAGATTCTAAGGAAGTTGAGGTTAATAAGCTTGAAGTGGAGGAGCTGAAGGTGGTGTTAGATCGGTTGTTGAATTCCGCCGACGATGACTGGAAGCGGTTCTTCGATCGAATGCGGCGGCGATTTGATGCGTAATATGAATTTTCCTTTTTTTTTTTTTAAATTATAATTCAAAATTTTCTTTTACTTTTTGACGTTTTTCTCATCTTTTTGTGGCTTTGCTTACTGCTTTTAGTTCGGTGCCGATGAAGCGAAAAGCATGAACACGGAACTGCTAAACTTTTTACAATCTACCAAGCCGATTATTTAGAAATTATAATTATCTTTAAAAAAAATTTAAAGCATAAATGAAAATTGCATTATGTTTATTTTTATTTGTTTAAATGTTAATTTGCCTAACTAAAAGGAAATCCATGCTTTTTATAAAATTAAAACAAAGGCTAAAATTCTGGTTTTGAACTTAAATCTTATGAATGTGAGAGAGAAATAAAGAGGTGTAGATGCAATAATTTATTTTTTCTAGGTCATTGTTCGACTGTTAATTTTATATATCTGTTTGTGAAAATCAAGATTAGGTTGGCGTTAACAATCATTTTTGAATTGAGAGGTTTATTGTTTATTCCCTTCTAAAGTAAAGAAAGAACTGAATTATAACATTGGTTGATTGATGTAATCAAGTAAATTAGAAAAGTGTCTTTATCATAGGTTTCCCATCATAGCTTTCATAATATTCATAATCAACACTAATTATGATATTAAAAAAAAGTTTGGGAATAAATCCAAATAATGTGGCCATTGTTATATATAAATCAAATTAAACCTCACACACCCAAAATATTGCTAGTGTAACCTCATCTAGACCTTGGGGTGTTGCAGTTTACCATTTTTTTATAAATCAAATTATTTTTCTGAGTTTACCTTTTATTTCAATATAGATTCCAAGAACCATTTAATTGTACTCCTTTTTAAGTTTTCTTTTGCTCAAATTGCAGGGTAGATTTGGAATTTCCAAAGATTGAAATCAGATTTCAGAACTTAAATGTAGAAACCTATGTTCATGTTGGTAGTAGAGCATTACCAACAATTACAAATTTCATTGTTAACATGACCGAGGTATGTTACTTACAGAAAAAAAATCATCTTTTAAACTTATATCTTCATCAATAAATAAATAAACACTTGAAGATGCTTATTGGTTATGGTTACCCTTCTCAAAATCTCAAACAGGCATTCTTAAGGCAATTGAAGATATACAAAGGGAAACGAAGAAAACTTACAATTTTGGATGATGTCAGCGGAATAATTAGACCTTCAAGGTGCAACATCAAGACAAAACTATATATATTTTCTAGTATAAAAACAATTATACAATTAATGATGGATGATGTTATATTTACAGAATGACCCTTCTTCTTGGTCCTCCAAGCTCTGGAAAGACAACTCTCATGTTAGCCTTGGCTGGACGTCTTGGACATCATTTGAAGGTATGCTATGGACATTTAATTTTTAATTTTTTAATTTTTTTAATGGTTAAATGGTAACAAACTATTTGTTTTTGTTCACAAAATACCATTAAAAACCATCAAAATAGTTCCAGTTGCTTACCTTCTGATAGTACTTTTAAGAAGAAAAAAAAAATGGTGTTTTGTGAATTAAAGTATAGTTCTTTATCCGTTTATGACTTTAACCCTTTTTTAAAACAATGGTGTTTTCTGAAGAAAAAAAAGTGTTACCCGTTTATGATTCTATATATTTTTTAGTAAATCCCTGTCTTTACACATTGATTATGTCAAAGATGTCAGGAAAAATCACCTACAATGGGCATGGTTTAAAGGAGTTTGTTCCTCAAAGAACATCAGCATATGTCAGTCAACAAGATTGGCATGTTGCAGAGATGACAGTTAGGGAAACACTTGACTTATCTGCACGTTGTCAAGGTGTTGGATTTAAATATGGTAAGCTTTGGAATTTCTGATTATTTTGTATTTTTTTTTTTTATATATATGTTTCTTTGTGTACAAAAATGCTAAATGATAGGTCTCAATGGTAGATATGCTAATGGAACTTACAAGAAGAGAAAAGATTGCTGGAATAAGACCTGATGAAGATCTTGATATATTCATGAAGGTATGAGACATTCAATAATGCTTTCATTATTTGGATTTTAAATGGTTTAACTAATGAATGTTGTTTTCTAGGCGTTGGCTTTAGGGGGACATGAAACAAGTCTTGTTGTGGAGTACATTTTAAAGGTATTTGCTATTTATTCTATCATGATTGGTTTTTTTCTTGAAACATAGTGTGTTAACTAATAAATTTAATTTGAAAAAGATTCTAGGATTGGATACATGTGCAGACACATTGGTTGGAGATGAAATGTTGAGAGGGATCTCTGGGGGACAAAAGAAACGACTTACAACAGGCGAACTATTAGCGGGTCCCTCTAGAGTTCTTATGATGGATGAAATATCAAATGGTCTTGATAGTTCAACCACATACCAAATAATCAAGTATCTCAGACATTCAACTCGTGCACTTGATGGGACCACATTGATTTCTCTTCTTCAACCTGCTCCAGAGACTTATAATTTATTTGACGATATTATCCTCATATGTGAGGGCCATATAGTGTACCAAGGGCCACGGACTACTGCGCTTGATTTCTTCTCATTTATGGGATTTCAATGCCCACAAAGGAAGAATGTTGCAGACTTCCTTCAAGAAGTAAGTTGTTACACGGTTATGTGGTGAGATCATGTTCTCAGAGCTTACCAACAAAAAATAATAAAGAAACTTGAACACAAGAATATACGTGGATAACTCCAAAACCAGAGGAAAAAAATCACTATATGATAATTTGTTATAATCACATAGACTAATCTCTCAATCTAACCCCCTAATTACATCTACACTCTCCAAAGATTTATCTTACTTTTCTACACTATAGAAAAGAACCATATACTTGAAGTGTATTTTATTGGGGAACTTGTGGTAATTTGAAACCAAAGCTTTGGACTACTTTATTTTTGCCAAATAATCTCAAAAGTTATGAAGTGAATGACTTATCAATAATTCTATTTCCTTGAATTCAATATGACACAGGTTGTTTCTGAGAAAGATCAAGAACAATATTGGTCTGCTCCCGATCGATCTTATAGCTACATACCTGTTAAAAAGTTTGCAGAAGCATTTCGTTCATATCGAGTGGGAAAAAATTTAGTTGAAGAACTCTCTGTTCCATTTGATAAGAAATACAATCATCCAGCAGCCTTGTCAACTTCTCGTTATGGTGTCAAAAGAAGCGAACTTCTCAAGACAAGTTTTAATTGGCAGTTGTTACTCATGCAAAAAAACTCATTCATCTACGTGTTTAAATTCGTTCAGGTAATGTCACTCTCAAATCTTATCCAAAATAAATTATTATTAAATTCTTAAGCACCATGAACATGATCTACTGTTTTTGCAGCTTATATTTGTTGCAATCACCACAATGAGTGTTTTCTTCCGGACAACTTTGCATCATAGAACGGTTGACGATGGAGGTTTATATCTTGGAGAACTTTATTTTTCTATGGTGATTCTTCTCTTCAATGGGTTCACAGAAGTGTCAATGTTAGTAGCTAAGCTTCCAGTGATCTACAAGCATAGGGATTTACACTTTTACCCTTGTTGGGTTTATACACTTCCTTCTTGGATTTTGAGTGTCCCAACTTCACTCATAGAGTCTGGTATCTGGGTGGTGGTTACATACTATGTGGTTGGACTTGATCCGAATATTGTCAGGTACATTTTATACTTTTTTTTGATGGTCAACGCAAGGTCAAACCAGGCTGATTCTTAATTTCTTATAAATAAATCTTCAGGTTTTTAAAGCAGTTTCTGCTTTTTTTCTTCCTTCACCAAATGTCCATTAGTCTTTTCCGCTTGATGGGATCCTTGGGGCGTAATATGATTGTGGCTAACACATTTGGATCTTTTGCAATGTTGATTGTCATGGCTCTTGGTGGATATGTGATTTCAAGAGGTAAATTTGGACCTTTTATTTTTAATTTTAATACTAATCTGTGTTCTTTTAATTTTTAACCTTTTCTTTTCTTCTCACCTTGTAACAGATAGTATACCGAGTTGGTGGATTTGGGGTTTCTGGATTTCTCCTTTGATGTATGCTCAAGAAGCTGCATCTGTGAATGAATTTCTTGGCCACTCTTGGGCTAAAGTAACAATCTCTCTTTCACCTTTTATCACTCTATCATTTCTACCAAAAGAGATAACATACTTTATGTTTTTTTACACACAATAACAACCTACTTGTATTTTTCTATTGATTTAAGCAATTTGTTTTACAATCTTAGCTTTGTTCATGCAGAGAGATAACCAATCAATGATGACATTAGGTGAGAGGTTGCTGAAAGCACGCAGTATTTTCCCTCAGACTTATTGGTATTGGATTGGCCTTGGTGCTTTGCTTGGATACACAATTTTATTCAATGTTCTTTTCACTTTCTTCTTATCTTACCTTAATCGTAAGCCATCTCTCCTCTCTATATAACTTTTTTTTTTATTCTTTTACATTTCTTGTTTGTTGAGAAATTTCAAACTTATAGCCTTGGGAAGGAGCCAAGCCATTGTATCGAAAGAAGACACCAAGGACAAAGATGGAAAGAAGAACAGTGAAAGTGTTGTCATTCAACTCAGAGAGTTTTTGGAGCATTCAGGCTCTTTCACGGGTACCCATTGCTTCATGATCCAAATTCTTCCTTTTTCAATCATTATGTACATATAATTCGATCAATAAAAAAATGTAAAAATATCATTTACAGGAAAGAATATAAATCAAAGAGGCATGGTTCTACCCTTTCAGCCACTTTCCATGGCATTCAGCAATATCAATTACTACGTTGATATCCCTCTGGTTTGTAAATTTCATACTCTATTTTTTTTATATGAAAGACTTAACAATTTAACATCATGTGATTACTTATATAGGAATTGAAGCAAGAAGGGGTTGTAGAAGATCGATTGCAGTTATTGGTAAATGTCACCGGAGCATTTAGGCCAGGTGTCCTTACCGCATTGGTCGGAGTAAGTGGGGCCGGAAAGACCACACTGATGGATGTCCTTGCTGGAAGAAAAACTGGTGGAGTAATAGAGGGAAGCATCCATATTTCTGGCTACCCAAAGTCACAAGAGACTTTTGCTAGAATATCTGGTTACTGTGAACAAAACGATATTCATTCACCTTGTTTGACAGTTGTAGAATCACTTCTCTTCTCTGCTTGGCTTCGTTTACCTTCAGATGTTGACATCAAAACTCAAAAGGTATACTTTTTATCAATTGGGCTAAATACAAGACATAACAATGTACTTCCGTTTTTTTTTTTTTTTGTTTTTCGAATATTATACTTCGAAAAATCCACCCATTTATAGCAAAGAACATTCCTATAATCGGGTGGATTTCCCAAAGTACAACGATCTAATATAAAGAAGTTGAGTTCTATAATAAAAACCCTAAAGAAAATAGGTTGGTATTTCCTACCATTTAACCCTTACAGACATAACGGGATTGTTGTACCTTCTTTCATAGGTTTTTGTTGAGGAGGTGATGGAACTTGTTGAACTGACTCCCTTAAAAGGCGCCTTAGTTGGTCTCCCTGGTGTTGATGGGTTATCAACAGAGCAAAGAAAACGTTTGACTATAGCTGTTGAGTTAGTAGCCAATCCTTCAATAGTATTCATGGATGAACCCACATCAGGACTCGATGCCAGGTCAGCAGCTATAGTCATGAGGACAGTCAGGAACATTGTCAACACCGGGCGCACAATCGTCTGCACCATACACCAACCCAGCATCGACATTTTTGAAGCATTCGACGAGGTTCTTCACTTCCTTCCATAAATAAAATCTATACTGTCAGTCATCTAGTGGGCCACTGTATACCTGATTTAAATTTATATCTGGCTAGTGTGGGCCAGCTGGCAGGAAAAAAAACTTAATTGTTAAAATTTGAAATGCAGCTCTTGTTTATGAAGCGTGGAGGGCAACTTATTTATGCGGGTCCACTTGGGCCTAGATCATGCAAACTTGTCGAGTATTTTGAGGTTTGGTTTTATTTTTAATTGGTTTTCATTAATTTAACCGGGGTAGGTAATTAAAAATATATGATGTGTAGGCAATTGAAGGTGTTAGGAAGATTAAAGCTGGACATAATCCTGCAACATGGATGTTGGAAGTTACTTCACTAGCAGAAGAAGCTCGTTTGGGTATAGACTTTGCTGAGGTCTATAGGCAGTCCAAATTATTTATGTATGTCTTCTTTCTTTTTACATTCTTTCTGATAAAAATGTAATATATGAAATAGTTAAGGGGCTAAATCAACAAATTGATGAAAGGTGTGTATGTCTGATGAGAAATATATTATTTATTACCTCTTGCAGACGCAACAGAGATTTGGTGGAAAGGCTAAAGAAACCAAGAAACGATTCAAAAGAATTGCATTTCCCAAGCAAATACTCGCGATCATACACAGATCAATTTGCAACCTGTTTTTGGAAACAATACCTTTCTTATTGGCGAAACCCACAATACACTGCTGTTCGCTTTTTCTACACCTCTATCATCTCACTAATGCTCGGAACAATCTGTTGGAAATTTGGGTCAAAAAGGTAATTAACTAACACTACTAAAAAACTTTTTTTAAACATCATTAATTAATTTCTTTCTTTTTATTTTTTTAGGGAGACCCAACAAGATCTTTTTAACGCAATGGGATCCATGTATTTAGCTGTACTTTTCATCGGAATCACCAACGCCACCGCTGTCCAACCCGTTGTTTCTGTTGAAAGATTCGTTTCATATAGAGAGAGGGCTGCCGGAATGTATTCGCCACTACCCTTCGCTTTTGCTCAGGTGATGAGTCACATTTACATTTCCCGCCCTTTATTTTATTTTTTATTTTATAAAATATATGTACTTTATTTATAGGGTGCGATTGAATTTCCATACGTGTTGGCACAAGCGGTAATTTACAGTACCATATTCTACTCGCTGGCTGCATTTGAATGGTCCACGTGGAAATTCATATGGTACATGTACTTTATGTACCTCACAATGCTTTACTTCACCTTTTATGGAATGATGACAACTGCCATGACACCTAATCACAATGTCGCTGCCATTATTGCTGCTCCTTTTTACATGTTCTGGAACCTCTTCAGTGGATTCATGATCCCCCATAAGGTAATTTTTTTTTTTTTTTAATTTTAATTTTATAAGTTACATGATATGTTATGATTTTGCAGAGAATTCCGATATGGTGGAGATGGTATTACTGGGCGAACCCAATCGCGTGGACTCTTTATGGGTTAGTTGTATCCCAATATGGTGATTTAGATAATCCTGTGAAGTTATCAGATGGAGTGCAATCTATGCCTATAAAACAGTTACTCAATGTTGTGTTTGGTTACAAACATGAGTTCCTTGGGGTTGCGGTTTTTATGGTGTTTGGCTTCTGCTTCTTGTTTGCTGTTGTCTTTGCTTTCGCTATCAAGTCTTTCGTCTTCCAAAAGCGATAAAAAAAGAGGTTGAAATCTGTTTAATATGCAATATGGTTTCGTGTTGAGGTAAAGGTATGTATCTAAAACACAGTAGAAAACACTTTGGATTTGTGAAATTAGTTATATATGTAGAATGTTGTAGATGGTATGTTATGATTTATTCTTTTTCGGGGGTGGAATAATAGTGACTAGTGTTGCATCTGCATAAAAGTTTGTCGAGTTGTAAACCGAACTTGCAAATTTATAAGTTTATATTCTTTGTGCAAAGAATTATGATAGCTTCAATCGTTTATATTTGTCATGGTGGTTATTGTTTGTTGGAAAGTTGGTTATTTGTTACTTAGCTTTCTTTTATTGAAATGTTTTGTACATGTATTATGTATGTAATTTGCATCGTTTTGAGAGTTTACACGACACATGGTAATGAAAGTTTCAATTCTCTCCATTCTTCTTAGCTCTTATATGGTATCATCTGCTTTTCATCATCAAGCTGAAGGTAATCCTGCATGGGAAGAAGCTATGATAAAAGGAATTTGACGAATTGAGTGCTAATCACATGGGGCGTTGTTAAAGTTAAACTCCCTAAGGGTAAAAAGCTAATTGCTTGTCGATGAGTTTATGAGAGCATGTCATGATGATGGTTGAATTGAAAGACAAAAAACTCGCCTGTTAAGGGTATTGCATAAAAAGGTGGATTATCATATTTAGGTACCCGATTAATAAATAACCATGGGGCCTGTAGGAATATTGACGGGTACCTACTGGATATCATATTTATGATCTTTAATAGGTTAAATTTTACTTATTGGAATTTTCATTACCTAAAACCCAATTGCAATTTCATCTAAAAAATGATTTGGAATTTTTAACAGTTCTATTTTCTTACAGTATCAACAAGTTTAATATCTAACAAATATTATATAAATAAAATCATCACCATAACATCTTTTAAATATCTGAATTTCATGATAATCTAATTCATATAACATAAATAATAAAAACAATATCATTGATCTCTATTGTAGGTTGTAAGTGGTAATTACATAACAAAATTTCTATTTCTAATCACATACGTATAACATTATAATATAATATTGAAATCGCACACAAACATATATATATATATATATATATATATATATATATATATAGAGAGAGAGAGAGAGAGAGAGAGAGAGATAGATAGAGATGAGTTATAGTGATAACCACAAAATACTAAGAACTTGAGAACTTTTTTTTCTACATAATATTTTTTAAAAATAACATACTAAAATCATCATTTGCTAAATCTAAGACATTAAAAAAAAGATTTTTTTTTCACATATATATATATATATATATATATATATATATATATATATATATACTATCTTATAAAAGAAATCTAACTATTTCTAAAAATAGATTTAATATAATAGTAATATTATTTTTTTAAGACGTACACGTTTTTAAGCTTAAATTACAACTAACCAACAATAAAATAATAATATAATCTTAAGAATCTAACTCTTTAAACTAAAAGTACAATTATCCTATGCATATACCTCTTACCCGATCTTTCTATACTTTGATTGAGTCAATCTCACCTCCCTTTTTATATGGGAAGCATAAGGTACTGTGGGATTCAAATTTGAAATCCCAAACTTTCCGGCCCGGCCCCTGTATCGGTTCCCTTCCCCTATTATCTCCCATCCTTTTCTCTACAACCTCCTTCATGCTAAATCGTTTTAACTGTCAAGCTTTCTTTTTTGTTGTCCACTGCCATCGATTGAGAAAATAGGTAAATACTTTGCCCCAATTCAAATATTGTTTTTTTACTCAAAATCTCAGAATGTAAGTTGATTATGTTTTAAAGTAAGGTTACGTTTTGGTTTTTGTTTCTTGAATCCATGACGAAATCTCTATGAAGGTGGAAAGATGCACGAGGTCAAGTTTTCTTAGGTGGAGATTACCTCTACTTTACCTCTTTTCCATCAGGTTCAAAGATTCTCTAAATCCCCAGATCCCTCAAAACCCTATTGTAATCATCTACACACTGAATGTTCTCTAAATCCTCGAAGAAACCCACCCTACTCCTCGAAGAAACCCACCCTACTCGAAGAAACCCACCCTACTCCTCGAAGAAACCCACTCTACTCCTCCTTCCTTCGTTCATCAACACAAACAACCCTAGAATACCACCAAACAACGACCACTACATCCCCGGTTTTTTCCTATGCTCGCCAACCTCCACCCCTGGTTGATCTTACCGTGTTCCACCATCACAACCATAAACATTCAAACACTCATCGTCTGCTCTCCCTCCCAAAACTATTTTCCTATACACCACCTTTCTCTCGATCTTTTTGTGCTTTTTTTTGTTAAATACGTAGATTTGTAGTTCATTTCTTATGTGTTGTCCATAGAGAATATATCATCAAAGGTTTATTTGTAACTTCTTGGATCGGTTAATGTTTCTAATGTTTAATTTCTCTAATTTTGTCGTTCTCTCAGATCTTTGTCTCAATAAGCAAAATCCTAAGTTTTTGTTTTTGTGTGATGGTTGATTTATGGTGGAGATGGCGGGAGATAGGAACATTGGGGTTGGATGATGAAAATACATATGAGGTGACTTTTTATGATTAATCTTGTATATTTTACTTCTTATTATTCATAGGAAAGAACACTGCATAACCAATTGAGGTAAGTTTACCACGTTAAAACACACCTTTACTATGAATGTTGTCTAATCTTTGATTGATAGTGAGATTAGATCTGAATTGTTTTGCCAAGATACAAGTCAAGCTTTCATATGAATTATTTATTCCTCAAATTTCCAAAAAAAATCAAATTGGGTTGGACATAATTGTACTTTTAAGTTTAACTCATGATATAATGTTTTAAATATGTATGCCTTTTAAACCATCTTTTTTTAATAGATGAACCAATCACTGAGTATATTGCTTTTCAGTTGTTTTTGTAATACATATTGATATTCCTTATTAATTTATTTCTTCATTAATTATAATATTTGTCTTTCATGATTTCAGGTCCAACAAAGAAAGTGAGTTGAAAGACTGCTCCACTGTAGAGAGCTTGGATTTTGGTTGTATTAATTATAATATTCTATAATCTTTCGCGGATTTTATCTTATAGCATCCTACGGGAAATTTATTTTGTTTAAATGAATCGTTGCTTCATTTACAAGGTTAACTTCAAGGATAGGAGTGCCCATACAATAGTTAGCAGGACAGAAGTACCACTTGGGGGAAACCTTGACAAAAGGTATATCAAATGTTCTTTTATTCCACATTCCATGATGATTTTAAGATTGTTTCTCCTTTTTGTCCGTAAAATGACTTTTCATCAAGTTCTCTAATAGAAACAATTATAACAAGCCCCTGGAAATAGGCATTACATATATTTTGTCAGCCTGACATGGACATATCTCTCACTTTCTCTCATACACGCATGTATACTATGAAGCATGTTAAAGATGATATTTATGTCATTTACAGTTTTTATGTCATTTTGTAGGTTCATATACTCTACACCCAACAGTGGGAAGAGGTTCTGTATAAAATCTTGGGTTTAAAATCTAGTCACAAGGGCTTAAATTCGAAAATTAAGTAGAAATGGTTATTACCAAAAGAAAAATTGATTTATGTTATCTTCATGGGTAATACAAATTTAGTTTTTAGATTTATCTTGGTGATAACTGGCTACTGTGTTTTCTGATTGCACAGGAGTGAGATTTGGAAACTCTTAGATGTCAAGGGTAGAATTGTCCAAAATGGGAATTAAAAAGGTGCTTGGGAGTTAGGATTTTTATGGCGTGAATAATAAAATCATGGCAACAAGTTTCAGATTTAATTTATTTATGGATGGAGATGTCAAGGGCAGGACAATTATAAGCTATGGAAAGTACCATCATTTGTTTATGATAACATATTTCTTTCATTTTTCTTCTATTACGACATTCTACTTTTTATATATTTTTTATTAAGACATTGTACTTTAAAAATCCAACAAATTATAAAATTTTACTTTGTATTAGCCTGGGGACATTGTGCTTTGGATTATTGAGTGGTGAAATCTAAAACAACTAAAGATGTTTTGAATCTATTCACTTCAAATTTTAATTAGATGAAACAATTATTTGTTGTTCAAACCCGCATTAAAATCCTATTTTATTGACCCTAACACTTGATTCTTTTTGCGTTTCAATCATTTTAACAAGTCGATCAGTGGCGGAGCTAGATGGGGCGTTGGGGGTATTACAGTATCTCCAAAAAAGTTATTTTATATATATAAAAAATATTATTTGTAACATGCTTCTTGTTATTGTACCCCCAAGTAAAGAGATTATAACATGTTTTTAATGTCCGATATTGGATAAATACATATAATATATCGACAATGTTTGTACCCCATATCAAAATTTCTGGTTCCACCACTGAAGTCGATAATCAGTTTAGAAACTTTTTATAAGCATCCAATTTGAAAACTTCCAAGACTTAAAGTTTCATGTGGGATACAATGTATATATTACTTAACTTCCTACAAACTAATAAAAAAATCCAATTAAAATCAATTGTGAGACCTAAACCTTAAAAGATTTTGATGAACCTTATTCATAGTTAAAGATAAAAATTATAACTGTTATTATCGTTCATAGTGAAATTCAAATGTTATTATCATTTTTAATACCCAAGCCTTTCAAAGAAAATTAGTACAAAATTGGTAGTTTATTTATATTATATTATAGTATATTATTTTTATTTTTTTTTAGAATTACCGGTATCCTTTTAAGTCCGGCCAAAAAATGTTTCATGTTTTGTAAAAACTACTTGTGGGGTGAGCATTTTTCGGTTTAAACCACAAAACCGTTTGAACAAAATGTTAATCGGATTTTCAGGTTTTGGTTTTTGGGTTAGCGGTTTCCCTGAACTAGGCGGTTTGGGTTGGCGGTTTTCTTAAACGTGATGCATGTATGATCATTTGTGTGCAACTTTTTTCTTTCCGTTGAACACACTACCTACAACCATCCCAAATGCCACATAATCTCTAAAAACTATTCGCCGAAAGGAAATTAGTGTGTCGCACACCACATTGCTATCCTTGTTGTTGCAAACGGAGATCGTATTGATTAAAGTTAGATACGTGCTTTTGTTTTTGTTTTGTTTTTTTGTTTTTTTTTTCAAATTGGCCAATTTTAAAACACGGTAAAATTAATTGTCGATAGAATATGATTTAAGTGTGACATTAACAAGTGT